CGAGTCAATCAGCTGCTTGTCTTTTGGGAATAGGGCGTGGTAGAAGGTGCCCACCTTGAAAGCATCATTGAAACCATGATTGGGACACCTCAGGAAGAGACTGGTGTATCTCTCACATGCGTCCCGGATGGTCTCATCTGCAGGTCCGCCGTCTTCGACGGAGGATGATAGCGGGTGAGGAACTTGTCCGCCAGGTTGGCGAACATGATGATCGAGCCCGGAGGCCGAGTGTCCAGCCACTCCTTAGCCTGCCCCTCCAGAGTGAATGGGAAGTACCTTAGCTGGATGACATCTGCTATCTTGATCCCATCGATGAGCTCATAAAATCGTCGCAAATGCGATCTGGGACACCCCCCCTCCTTTCCGCGGAATACCAGCGAGCCGCGCAACATGGTGATGACAGAGGTACTCACCTCAAAGTTTTTGGCAGCAACTTGAGGGTGTTGGATGGGGGAACTCATGTCTGCGGCGCGGGCGGTCCAGTAATAGCCCATGGTTTGCTCCTCGGGAATGACCACATCATTGTTCAGTGGTTCATCGATTTCTTCCTCCTCGGTGATGTGCAGTTGCTCAAAAGCTTTCTTCGCAGCCAGTCATGCCTTCAGAGTCCGCTTGAGGTTACGACAGGTTCGTTCAATTTCCTGGTCCAATGGCAGTAGATCTCCCGACTGGCTATGGGTCATGCGCTACCTGCACGCAATTAGCAAAATCAACTCGTGAAGGCACACAGGTGGAAGAAAGAAAATGCAGTAAAGAAAATGCTAAAGTAACAGACTTTCACGTTTCCACAATAACTCAGGGTCCCGGGCAACGGCGCCAAAAACTTGACACGCTAAAACACAACACCAAACTGCGACCAAGTGTAATCGTAGTCCGAAAATGCAGTAAAGTGACAAGCTCTATTTGTCAACCCGGGGTCTAGATCTACTGCCTACTCCGTGATTATCTATTATCTAGCAAACTAAGTCGAGTGATTGTGATTTTAAGCAAAAGCAGTAAGAAAGCAGGAAATGGTTCGAAGTTCTTTAGCAAGGGAAGAGTCACTCGGGAATGAGTCCCCCTAGATCCTTACTTAGGTAAAAGTTGTAATTACCCTTGGTTGATTTACCGTTGATTAAACTGTGGAAGATCCGACAGTGGCTTGGAATCTCTTAAGCTGACCAAGCCCTCTCAGACAGACTAACCGGCAGGCGACTAGCCTTCACCGAGATAGACTGTTGAGGCAATAAACACAGAACTCCACTACTGGAATTGGATTCCAGTACAAAGCTGTAAATCGATTAACTCTCGTATAACCAATCTACTACTACCGATTGATGAAGCTCTAACAACCTAATCAGATTCTATCTATCTCAGGTTGCAGCATAAATCAAGAAAAGATGATCAAGCTCCAATTGATTCAATGAATCATGTATCAATCTATTAAAATCAATCAGTATATCAATCCAAAGTCATTACAATCAAGATTCCTAACACATGGAACTAGGGTTCTTCGTATCCAAGTGAGAGAGGGTTCTACTCCATAGAGAGAGAGGAAAACAGTAATCAGAGCAGTCATACTCATAGAGATGGGGATAATCTACTCTGGGATATCGATCTTCACTCCCGGGGATGCAATCTGGGCTTCAATGGTGAGAAATCCACTCCAAATAGCTCCTAGGGTTTGTTCTTCGCACTTTCTCTCTCTAAAGCTCTGTTTTTTGCTCAAAAACTTGATTCCCCTTTCAAAAGACCCAAAATTGGGTTAAAAACCCAGTTCTGCCCGATCACACGGCCAGGCCACACAGGCCACACGGCCGTGTGAAATTTAGGTATGCCCGTGTGGCTCTCCAAAACGTCGCGTTCGATTTAGTGACTCCAGGTACGCTACACGGCCAAAACCACACGACCGTGTGGAATTTAGATCTGCCCGTGTGAACTCCCTGGGAATTCCACACGGCCAAAAAGGGCCCTTTACACGGCCAGTGTGGCTTGCCCGCTCAAAAGGGTTCCACACGGCCAAGTCAAACATGTGGAATTTCCAGTTTTCGTCAAACGTCCCAACTTCGTCCAATCGACCCCGAACTCGTGCCCAAACCTCCTTCACGTACTATAGGACCTGAAATATCACAAACAAGAACAAACTAGCATGAAATTGGGCCAAAACACGAGAGATGAGACTCAAACGGTATAGGAATGGTGGACAAAAACATGTGTATATATCAAGTCATAAGCAACCATCATCATTTATCAGAAGACAAACAGCCAACCTAAGTGGGAAACCCACTATTTCACCGGTAAAAAGGTTAGCCAAGGCCAAGCTAACAGCTTTCGGACGCCAACACAATTTAACAAGGTGCCTAAAGCCTATAGATATCTTCATTCGTGGCAACGACAAGCCGCCATTTGTGATGAATTAGAAGAGTAATCGGAGGCTCCTGCTCTCACCCGCATGTATCAAGCAGAATTCACAACCGAGAAGCTCCTACTCTCACCCGCAAGCATAGAATGAAGCTTGAAAATCGGAGGCGGCGATTGTAAAACAAACAGACAGCGGGATCGGAGATGAGGGGCGGCCAATCAATTTCGGCCAAGGACTGGGGAAAGGAAAGTCAATACAAGGGGAAGAAGCAAACCCCCACCCGTGATTTGCCCGGAAGAAACCCAAAGTGGAAATGCCCTTGTACGATTTGATGGGAATCGTGAATTCGGACTGCAAAAATGGCGAGAATGAGTGCCTGCGACAGCCGATGAGACCGAGAGAGCATGGAGAAGCTTTGGTTTAATTTTTTTCTTTTAAACAATCAGATAAAAACGTCACCATTTTAAGCTAGAGACTGGTATCTGATTCCGGTTGAACCACCCGGAATTCTTGGTTTTGACCGAAATTGACCAGAGCATCCTATCGGTGGCATTCCAGCCGGTTTCACCACCGATACCGGTTGAACCTGGTTCAACCGGCCGGCATGCCACTGGCATGACAACCATAGTATAATATGATGATATAATATAGAATAACAACTAATCAATCCATTATCATAACCTCTTAACCTTTAATTTTGAATTCCAACTCAAAATCCCAAAATATAAACCCTAACCCTAAATTTCTAAACCCTAAATCATTCAAATTAAAATAAATTTTGAATGATTTTTGTACAAATTCATGTATTTCTTGTTCATCAAACCACTAGTGAGAATTTATCGGTTTCACATGAATCGCCTTCTCGGAATGACGATTATGAGGCGAATGCATTGAATGAACTCAAAAATTAGATGCACCGAATACGCCACTATATATATATATTTATCAATATTATGGGATTGTATGAAACTCTTAGAATATATTTATTTATGTTATTTTTTTGAATGCACATATTGAAAAATTGACACATTCATCCAAGAAAAAGAACTGAATCGCTAAATGTCGCCCTAAGAATTGCTAAACGTCGCCCTAACTTAAATGTCATATTACCTATATACCCTTAATGAAAATTGAAAAAATAGGACAACCAAACAACCCTTTACCTTTCCTTCGGCAGCAGACGAATCCACAAACCTTCCACCCTCTCCGAGTCGCCGCCGGCGAACCCCTCCCCCTCTACTGTTCCTGTCGCCGGCCTCCTGCTCCCGTCGTTGCCGCCGTGTCGCTCCCGTCGCCGGCGACCTGCTCTGCCTCCTGGTCCACCGACGCAGACGACCCTTTACCTGTCGCGCGCTCGCCGCCGGAGAAGAAGAAGTCTCCTTGCCCGCCGGAGAAGAAGAAGTCGCGCGCTCGCCGCCGCCGGAGAAGAAGAAGGTAAAAAAAAAAAAAAAAAACCGTGCCGACCGCAGTCAAACCGCGGTTAGACCGACGGTCAACCGCGGTCAACGCTCGGTTTGACCATGGCTGGACCGCGGTCAAACTGCGGTTGGACCATGGCTGGACCGCGGTCAAACTGCGGTTTGACCATGGCTGGACCGCAAATGACCTGCGGTTGGACCATGGCTGAACCGCAGGTGATTTGCGGTCCAGCCATGGTCCAACCGCAGGTCATTTGCGGTCCAGCCATGGTCCAACCGCAGTTTGACCGCGGTCCAGCCATGGTCCAACCGCAGTTTGACCGCGGTTCCCTTTTTTTTTTTTTTCGTTTTTCAGTTAATGTATTTACCTCGTCGGAGTCGCTACTCATGATTCAGACGTCCTATCGACGATATCGGCTTCAAAATGACGATGATGGATTTTTCTCTTCTTGGATAGTGTTTTTTTTTTGTCTAAGTGGTGTTTGTTTGATAAAGGGAAGGTAAAGAAGATAGGGGGTTATAATTGTAATTTTAAACTTTTTTAGGGCGACCTTTAGTAATTCTAAGGGCGACCTTTAGCAACTCCCAAAAAGAATATTCAAATAAAAATATGTACATATTCAAAGTCTCAAACGCCCGCCCATCTTTTTCTCTTGTATATATGCAAATTGAGTTCAGTTCAAACATCTAAAATAACACAAATCCATCTAGTAAGACAAATAAGCAATTATTATTACTATTTTCCATCCCCAATGGATATTATTCACTTAGGGCACAAACAAATCATAGTCCAAACATTTTTGTAATCTCTCCAAACCAGACAAAATTGCCACAATCCCAAATTTAAAAATAAAAATTATTTTACACAAAAAAATAATATATTTTTGTTTATTCAAAGATGCCCCTACCATCCTCCTTTGGTTCCCTCCCTCCATTCCAACTTCCCCCACTTGTCTCACACTTCTCCTTCTTCCTCTACCCACCTTTATATTAAATGCCCTTCTTCTTCTTCTCCCCCTTACTCCTACTATATTAAACAAACTCACAATTTTCCCATTGCTCTCTCTCTCTCACTTCTCCCTTTTCAAACCCAAATCCCAAGTCCCAAACTTTCACATTCTTCTCCAGAAACCCATTACAACCCACAAAATTGTTTCCCACCTCTTCTCACCACCATAACCAATCTCTTTCTCTCTCTAGCACAATAAACCCCTTTCACACACACCTCATTTATGATGATAATGGGGAAGAAGAAAATGAGAACGAAGCCCAATCCATTCACAGATCAATCCCCCACTTCCTCCATTAATAAACCTTCCTCTTCTTCTTCACCTTCTTCGTCTTGCTCATCTCCATCTTCCGCCTCCACATCCACCTGGCCCTGGCCGCCTTACTACTACTGCCACCAGCAGCCGCGCACTCTCTCCTTCCGTACAACCACCTCCGCCGACAAGCCCATCTCCACCGCCACCGCCATGTCCAAGCCCACTGGGCCTACCTCCAGCGGACCCGATGTTGTTGGGCCGGGCCCAGGAAACACCGACGCCTCGTTCGACGACGATCCCGCCGCCGTGGAGACCGTCATCCGCGGCCTCAAGCAGTCCGACCGCCGCCGCCTCTTCTCCCCCGACGAAACCAGCTCCTCCATCCTCCGCCGTAAAGATTCATCCCCAACCGCCGAGGAGGAAGCGGATCGCGGCGGCGACGGAGGAGGGGAAAATTTGTTGTACCCGTTCAACGACGGCGGAGCGGCGGCAGTGGCGCTGACGCTGGATTCGCGGGATCCGTTCGAGGACTTCAAGGCGTCGATGGCGGAGATGGTGGAGGCACACGCGCTGCGCGATTGGGAGTCTCTGGAGCAGCTGCTGGGCTGCTACCTGAAGGTGAACGGGAGGAGCAACCACGGGTACATCGTCGGCGCTTTTGTCGACCTGCTCGCCGGCGGCCTCTTTTTCAAAGCGGCGGCGGAGGAAGAGGAGGAGGTGGAGGAATTAAATTGCTCTTGCTCGAATCGCCACAAGGCGGGCGAGGATCTCCGGCGGCATCACTACTCGCCGTCGTCGCCGCTGTCGTTCTACACCTCTTTCTCGTCGTCGTCGTGCTCGGAGGATTCGTCGTCGACGCCGTGCGTGTCGTCGCTGGAGGCGTACCGGGAGGCGGCGGAGGGTGATGACGAGCTGGACGAGATTAGTACTGCAGCTTTTCGCGGTGAGAAGGAAAGGGGAAGGGAGAATGGGTCCCATTAATTTAATAATGAATTTCTCCATGTTTATTTTCCTATATATATATATTTCTTTTCTGTAAATTAAACCTCTAGCGTAGCTTCTTCTTATTGATCGGATATATATAAAATATATTTATCTATATAAATATGACCAATTAAGCTGGGTAAAGAAAATAGGAAGCGAAAAAAGGACCGTCTGATGAATATTTGCATAAATTTCTGTTTCAAGAGCTCAATTTCCGGTGGTTGATGCCACGTGCGGGGGAGGGATTTGCGCATGAGGTAGGGTTCTTCATTTCTGGGAATCGCCATGGTACTTGTTCTATTTTCATGAAACTGAATGTTTTTTTTTTAACCTGGCTAACTGGAGAAGAGAATTACTGTGAGTTAATTTCCTTTCTGTGAAGGGAATTACTGAGTGGCAGTTTCACATTAGTAGGTAGTGTACCGTGATCTCAATGAAAGTGACAAATAAAGCAATTAATTATGAGCTCGATCGTAATGTATAATATCTACCTAAACTGGGCCGGCTATATATATATATATATATATATATATATATATACTTATTTATATCTAATAAAATAGGATTCATCGTTAATTTTTTTTGGATTATGTCAATTTCATCGTTTGACTGCTGCAAAAATCAAATGGGCTTCCGGTTGCATGTCGCTTATGATGGGTATGTTTGTTTAGTGGATTTGAGTTTGACTTTGACACTTTCCAATTCTAAGGTAGCTAGCTTTCTGTTTGTTTTCGTGGGAGAGGTTTTTTACTGAATGACTAAATAGATTGTCCTTCGACAAGTAAAAGGAAAAAAAACACACCGTAACAAATCTCGATCCTCTTATCTCTTTTTTTTCTCCTTCTCTATCTCCATCACTCTTGTTTTCCCTTTTTTCTGCCGCAGCCACTATAAATTCGATCTTGCTGGTTGCGATCTGTGGTCTTCTGGTATCGACGAACCGGTGACGATTGTGTCAGAGAGGGTGCATAAGTAATCTTATGTATTAAGTTATGTAGATTTAAGTAAATTTTGGGAGACGTCTATCAATCCCTTTTCTTAATTGATGTTGGGAGAAGAAGGAAGGTTGTCGTGTGTAACATGGTAAAATTTATCTTCACAATCATTTGATCGCATCTGGGGTTTAAGCAGATTTTCGTTTTCAAGTTTAAGAGAACTTTTTAATTTTTCTTCCCTAACCCAGATTGAGTTAGAGTTCAATTAGGAATGTCCCCTTTTTTTTTTCTCTCTGGCGTGAAAAGAAATAAAGGAGAAGAGGATTGGAGTAGTAACTAAGAACGAAGAACTCAAAATAAATATGGTAATGGTAGCTTGGAGTTGTGGGTGGGAACAGTTGGGAGACAGTGAGAGGGAGGTTTGCTTGAACGGCATTCTGTCTTAAATACTGGCCGATGGACGGCGACGGCGAGTAAATAAAAAAGCACACTCCATTAAATGTTTATTTTACTGTTTACAGTCTTCGGAAAAAAAAGAAAAAATTAACCAGAAGGGTTGGAATCGCATGCATGCCGAACCACAGCCATGCACGTGTGACGGATCCATATCTCCACCAATGGAAACCCTGGATGAGACTGGTCTCTCATCGGAGCCGTTGATTTATTTCTTGCACAAAGGAAAAAATAATTAATATATATATATATACATAGAAAATGTTCTATTTTAGGACAGTCATTTTCAAGATGACAGGTACGGATCGAGGCCAGCACAGAATTTTGGCGTGGTCCAATTCCTTCTCTGATGCTTATAAATCATAATTCATATATATTGTGCTTTGTATAAAATAAATTAATAATATATATATTTATATATAAATGAATGAAAATTCAAAACTCAGAAGTTTTTGTTTTCTTCAACAATTTCTTCCTTTCCATCCATAGTATAGAATTCATAAATGCCAGTCAGTTCAAAATTTGAACACAGTGATGTCCTCATCCATTCAATCTCTTTCATTTTGATTAATACCAACGCCAATTGCCAAGATTAGCACAATTTCACTTCCCGCAATCTCTGCCTAGAACCGGAAATTAACCAAATACCTAGAATTGTATTGATGATGATTTGATATGGACCGAATACGAAAAATGATTGATCAAGTTAACACACGCGATTGTATTTTTTAGGACGATATGATTGAATGCTTTGCTTGAACTACACATGTTTGTGTTACCAAACCTGAGCATTAGTGTCCTCCGTTGTGCAATAATATTATTGTTTTCCAACAAATGTGGGGTTTGGTGTTGGGAATATGTAACATGGAGAAGCCAGTTTATGAGAAGAAAACAAAAGGTAGCTAGAGCTAAGCTGCTGTAATATTCCCCCGCGGCCAGTTTCTAAGGCTGAGGAAAGGGGAGGATTGGGACAAAAACCAGATTGCAAAATCCGTGCAGCAAATAGCTCATCACCTTATCATCATCATCAACAACCAAATATAACTTTTGAAATTGAATTTCTCTGTCTCTCTCTCCCTCCCTCTCTCTCTCTCCCTCTCTCTCTCTCTAGGAAGCAAAGTAAGAACAAAATGTTAGGAAGACAAAACAGTATATATATTGTAGTAGCTAGATGTAAAAAAGATCAGTATGGAAGATTCATTATGTGCAAATATTAGTGGGGTTTGGGGGAATATATATTTGTATGTGTGTGGCCAATTCCTACCTACTACTGGCCATGCCTCGATATGAAAGGTGCACATCACATAGCAAGTTGTGTAGGATAATTTTCATCTCTGTCAAAACCTACGTAGTTCAAATAAGCAGGTGGTAAGTTAGAGCACTTCTGGTATGCTATATAGTATTGATACTTTAATGTACAACTTGAAGTTGTGCCATAACATTAAATGTATAAGTTTAGGTTGTACCATAAAGGAATTTTGTATCATTATGTTATGGTACAACTTTACAATTTGAAGTTGTACCATCACATAAAGGTACAAGTTCAAGTTGTACCATAAAAGAATTTATACAAAAAGTATAGGTACAATCTGAAGTTGTACCATAACGTTAAAGGTACAATTTCAAGTTGTACCATAAATGCAAAAACCTATAGCTCCAATGCTATATAGCATTGTAAAATTCATCGGTACGTTATGAGGAGCCCTTTAATTACAACTTGAGTTGTTTCTTACTCCAAGTGAAGTGGAGAAATTTAATTCATGGTTGCGCATAAAGCTATGGGCCAAGTGCGGGAGAGAGATTCGAAGGAAAACACGAAGCTTATATGCAGTAACTTATGTGGAAGTAACGATATGTAGAAGATTTCACGTGAGTGTAAAAAATACCAAGTTTTCCAATTCCAAAGCATTAGCATGTCGAAAAAGAAACACCGGTGTAAAATCGAGGCATTATCATGTAATAGAAACACAGATTCATTATGTTCATATACCCACATCATCATCTTCTACGTCATCGACATCATCATCTCCACCACCACCATCGCCTGCTCTGGTTCTTTATCGCTCATTGTTTCAGAATCTTGGTCTACGCCCTACGAAGCACACCGATTTTACACATATCATGTTGACTATGTGGTTGTGCCTGCTTGCTACAAACAAGATGATGGCGATCCTCGTTGGGAGGAAGCCATGAAGCTCGAGTTTTCTTCCCTCCACCATAAGAATACGTGGAGGATCTTCCTTTGAGAAATATGATAACAATCGAGAAGACAAGACGGTTTTTACGTGGTATCATCGAACAATAGATTTATCATAACACCAGGGTGCTCAATTAGTACGATATTGTCCACTTTGGGCCAAGCCCGCACGGTTTTATTCTTGGATGTCGTCTCCAAAAGGCCTCTTAACTAATTGGGCTAGGTGGACACTTATATACAAGGATTCCTTCTCTTGTATTTCCGATGTGGTACTTGGATTGTCCCATAACAATCTTCCCCTCAAGCCAAGGACCACGAACTTCGTGTCCTCATCTCAGCGATTAACTTGATCCGACAGACACCTTGTATCGATGGGCTTCTCGGTATAAGGATTTTTTTCCAGATGCGGAACTCTCTTTGATCCGTCAAACCCAAACGTGGATCTCTCCTGGATCCACCAAACAGCCCAGACGCAGATCTTCCTTGATCTGCCAAACAGACACGAATCACAAATCCCGAGGCCACCGAATGAGTGTCCACCAAAACTGACGTCCACCGCCCCAACCGAACCAGGCTCTGATACCACTTGTCAGAACAGAAGCGTGACAATCGATAATCCAAACAAACACGAACAAACACAAATTTAACGTGGTTCACTAACACAATGTGTGCTAGCTAATCCACGGGCAGAGGAGAATAAATTTCACTGATTTGAGGAGAGTACAGGTTACAAACCAAATTCCAAACGGACAAACCAAACAAACTAAACTGACTGACCTTACAACAGATTAGGGTGGTGAAGAGTATTTATAGAACTCTTCTCCTAATCCCAAACAGAAAACCAAACACCTTTTCCCAAACATACAAGGAAAATGTCAAAACAAAACCCAATCCCAAACCCAAACAGAATAGGCCTAAAACACAAAACAAATCCAAATCAAATTCCAAGTCATATTCTAACAATCTCCACCTTGACTTGAATTTTTTCTCAAATACCAAATGTACCAGACGCAACAAAAGTTGCCAGTTGTACCAAACGCAACCAAAGTTGCCAGATGTACCCAGACATGATACATATCGCCAGACGTATCCAAATGCGATCGAAACCGCCAAACTCAAACGCAATCAAGATTGCCAGACATATCCAAATGCGATTCATATCGCCAGACCAAACGCGATGCAAATCGCCAAACTCATATGCAATCAGAATTGTCAGACGTACGAAACTCATCCAAATCAGTTGTACCAGAATCTCCTCTGCCTCCAAATGCCCCTAAGGGCGGTCAACAACTCAAACCATTTGGCAAATCCAACTCATGTTAAGACTTGTCATTCAGAACCAGCTTGGTGCACTTATCACCAACAGAACATGTCAGGACAGACCCTTGTAGATTATACAAGGCACCCCGCTT